AGTCATACACCATATTCATTACTATTCTTATACATAGCAAACCATGACATTAGTAATACCATATTTTTTAATACATGAATAAGCATGTATAAAGATAAATCTGCCTTTTCAAAACCTTTTCCAAATAACATGGAGGGTATTTTTATAAGCAAATAATTTTTAAAAAAAATATGCAAATGCATGTTATTTTTACTAATACCAAATAAATAATTGATAAGAAATAATCAGGGCTTTTGCTTCTATCCCAGTTGTGGGTCACAATTGAACCAATACCCACTTTGAAAAACAATTTGCAATCATACCACTTTACGATCAACTTCAGACCGTCTGAAGTTAAAGAAAAATTAGCCTGAAGTTAAAAATTTGCACTTAGATGCACTTAAGGCCAAATAGGTCTGAAGTGCAACCAATGGTTTCATGCACTTAAGGCCAATAAAATTGAAGTGAAATTACACTTCGGATGCACTTAAGGCCAAGAAGTCTGAAGTGCAACCAATGGTTTCATGCACTTAAGGCTAATAAGTCTGAAGTGAAAAATTGCACTACATATGCACTTAAGCCCAAAAGGTCTGAAGTGCAACTAACGTTTTCATGTACTTAAGGCTAAATAGGTATGAAGTGCAAATTGCCCTAAAACAAAAATTTATTCTTCAAAATTTAACAATCTAATTTACGATTTAATACCTAAAGCTACTCCAAATGAGCACCAAGTTGAAACATAACCTCTAAATATCACCAACAACAAACCTCAATCATCAATTTGTCAAAATAATAATAAATCTAACGAACCCATTTTGCAATTAAGAAAAAGAAAAAGAAGAAACCTTAAACAATGATAAAAAAATAAAGCGCCACAACAACTCAATACTGTAAAACATGATAAACTATCTTAAAATAAGGTTCAAAACACCATATAAAATTACTGTTTCCCGAAGAAGAGGAAGAAGAAGGAGGAGGAGAAGAAAAATACCTAAAGTTGTTTTAATTGTGGGTATAAATTAAAAAAAATTAAGAAGTAAGTACTAATTAAATGGGACGAACAAATAGAGTGTTTGGTAATCAATCTATTGTTATACGCCCTACCAAATAATCCGTTAGAAATAGTTTTAAATAAGAAAAGCTAAAAAAAGTCTAAACAATTGGAAGCATAAGCTTGAGAGTTAGAATGACTACATTACCCTTATAGACCATGTTCATCCAGTTTCCAGAATTTGCAAATAGGGGTAAATGCAAGGATATAAAGGTAAATCAACACTATAGCTTACTAGTATAAAAGAACCTCTTTGCGAGGAAAGAGATTCTCACGAACTCCAGACGGAAAGAATGAGGTAGCAGAGAGGTAGTGGGGAGTCTCTAATGGTGGTTGCCCTCTCTCTGTTTTCTGCCTATGATTTCCTTTTCCATTTTCTCCAAACGCGGCCTTAATAAACCACCATTCATCTTAAGTGTCTGTTTGGTCAAGCTCTGATCTACACACACATATATACGATATATATATATATATATATACACACATGTACTTTGCTGCTGCTTCTTCTTCTTCTTCGTCATCATCAAAATTATTATTATTATTATTACTCCCTCCGTTCCACTTTATTGTTACTGTATCGGATGAGAGGCTGTGATGATTAAGGTGTCGTCTAGAGTTCGCGTCGGGCGATGGAGCAGCCCGTATCTTGGCGGGGCGACCCGGTAAGGCACTAATAATTATAGTGCAACTGAGGTTTGCAGCCATGGCGGTTGCTTTGTCTCCTTTGCCCTGTTTTTATCACAGATCTGAGCCTCAATATACCTCCCAAAAAAGTAGTAGTACTATTTATGTTTGATAATTTGACAATTGTTTTAATGAAGTTACATTTGCTTTAAGTTTTAGTTTGCTGACTCTTTTGTTCAGAAATTTTTGTACAGCTAGCTATTGAAATCGTTATATTGACAAATATACAATGCCTATTTTCTATTCACTTAGATGATTGTTTTATAAATTTTTGTATTCTTTTTAAATAAAGGACATTGGATTTGTTTGAAGGAAGTTTCTCTTTTCAGTTAACTAAAATGGTGAACATTTGATTTTAAGTTTTTGAGGAAATTGAAAATGAGAAAAAGGACAGGGGAATGTTTTAGTTGACTAACTAGTGTAAAAATAAATTATAATAGTCATGAGTGTGTAATATGTACTACTGATTAAGGAAGTAAAATTGTTGTTTTGGTATAGACCAATTTGTACAATATTATATTCATGATTGCATTATCAATATTACTGATTAAGAAAGAAAATTAGTGATTTTAGTATAAAACAATGTGTGAAATCTGTGTCTTAGGTCACAGGTTCTATAGCTCAAGTGGCAAAGGGTGGTGGATTTGTGTCTTAGGTCACATGTTCAAGCCCCCACACCATGCAAAACATGGTATTTAAGTGGAGAAGGTAGAGGGGCGGGCCCATTATCCACCGAGTTTCGAAGACTGCGGTTGGTCCAAAGGATCGACCCCAGACAGATTTCTCGGTCATAAAAAAAAACAATCTGTGAAATCTGTCATATTTTTCCCCTTTGGGTACTAAGTTGAGATATATAGAGTAATGATCCAACTATAAAAGAGGAATGGAGTATTAAAGTATTTATCTTACCTTTAAACCCTTCCCTTTTTTTCTCATCTTGTTCTTGTCCTCTTTTTGTTTTCTGTTGTTGATAGGTGGTGCAGTCTTATTTCTACTGCATGAATTGAAATTGGAATTAGTAACTCAAGAATAATCTATCAAAGGAAATAATAAATGAGAATGAGGTAACATAGGGATAGGAAAGTATCTAGGGATGTTGCCTCCCATCTGAGTGCAAATGATTACTAAGTGTTCTGCTTTCTTGGTCATTATTTTTCCCTCACAAAATCGGAATCATTGTGAGCATCATTGCTGATGCTTATCTGTAGGCTGTGACGATAAAGCTTACTGAATTGATCGGGTTTTGGTCAACTGGACTCGTATCTTGACAGGGCAAACAAAGATGTCTTGTAAGCTGAGTAATGAGTATCAGAATAAAATAGATTGTGATTGAGATTGTTGTTGTTGTTGTTGTTGTATGCTACTTTGGTTTGCAGCCATGGCGGTGTCCTTTGCCTTTGCCCGATTTTGTCACAAATCTGAGCCTACTTATGTACTCAACCAAGAATAATTGGTCAGAGAGAAAAGTAAGTAAAACACTAAGAAATAAGAATGAGGCAGCATAGTGATGCCAGTTTGTTTCGATGGTTGCCTATGCCAATGATTTCTTAGCGATCTGCTTCTGTCAAAGCTAGAACCTTTATTTATTGACACTGTCATGCTTATTGGTGCTCGGTTGTGTTCTTGTACTTTCTGCCACTGTTTTCTTAGTCATTATCTTTTAACCTTTCAAAAATCACAAACATATGAGCATTATCACCGATGCTTTTTTGTAGGCTTTTTGAATTTGTCGTGTTTAGGTTAACTGGAGCCGTATCTTGGCGGGGCAAACCAGGTCTTTCATTAGCATAGATTAATGGTTATTGAAATAGAGCAAAATCGATATTGGCATAAAGTTGATTCTGATTGGTTTGATATTGTGGTGTAATTGTTCTATTATGTTATCATGGTTTGCAGCGATGATGGCGATCCTTTATTTATCTGATTTATGTACTCACCTATCACTTTATTGATAAATAGATGGATAGATAGATGAAAGTGATGGAAATAATTTGTAGATGCGAATGCAAATAACTTATGACATGCATGGAGAAAGGGGGAAGGTAAATGGGGTAAACACATGGATCTATTTTGGATTTGTGATGACATTTCTTAGGGCAACTGACTGAAGAATTGATGTCACTTGGTGAGGCCGTAAATACTAAATAGTATCCTTAATTTGGTATTTGGTTGTGTGCTTCTTATTTTCTCTATTCTTGATATTCCCTTGCCCTCATTTTTCTCCTTTTCTTTATAAAGTCCTTTGCCTTTGATTTCTCTTGTCATAATGGTTGCATCTCGTGCAGTTAGTGATTTCTAACTACGCTGGTGTTTGGGATTCAGGGTTTCTCCAGTAATGTTATATTGTGCGGACTCTCCAAAATAGGGACAGTTTTAGGTATCTTGGGTCGGTGATTCAGGGGGACGGAGAGATCGACGGGGATGTCACTCACCGTATAGGAGCGGGGTGGTCGAAATGGAGGCTTGCATCAGGAGTCTTGTGTGACAAGAAAGTGCCACAGAAGCTCAAGGGGAAGTTTTATAGAGCTGCGGTTAGACTTGCCATGTTGTATGGGGCTGAGTGCTGGCCGGTGAAGAACTCCCGTGTCCAGAGAATGAAGGTTGCGGAGATGAGGATGCTCAGGTGGATGTGCGGGCTCACCAGGTTAGATAGGATTAGGAATGAAGTTATTCGGGAGAAGGTGGGGGTGGCCCCAGTAGATGAGAAGATGCGAGAAGCGAGGCTCAGGTGGTACGGGCATGTGCGGAGGAGAAGCCCCGATGCCCCGGTGAGGAGTTGTGAGCGGCTGGCGGTAGTTGGCGCGAGTCGAGGCAGAGGGAGGCCCAAGAGGTATTGGGGAGAGGTGATTAGGCAGGACATGGCTAGAATACGGACTTCCGAGGACATGGCCCTTGATAGGAAAGTCTGGAGGTCTAGTATCAGGGTTGCAGGATAGGGGCTTCTAGAATTTTTCGTACTTCTGTCCCGGGGCTGGGGGGGGCGGGGGGGGGTTTGGTAGGGCTCTCCATAGATGATCTGTGTATTGTATTGTGCCCCCTTATGGTAGTTACTGGTCGATATATTTGCATGCCATTTTATTTATGGTTTATGTTTAGATAATTATTTATGTGATCTCTGCTGGAATTACTAATACTCTTTTGCTTTTTGTTTTTTTTGTTTTTGTTTTCCTTTTCCTTTTCCCGAGCCGAGGGTCGATTGGAAACAGGCTCTCTGCCCTTTCGGGTAGGGGTAAGGCCTGTGTACGTATTACCCTCCCCAGACCCCACCTTGTGGGACTATACTGGGTAGTTGTTGTTGTTTGTGCGGACTCTCCAAAATGTTGTTGCAACCATGTCGGATCCTCCAAAATGCACTTCTTTGGAGGATCTCATACACAACGGCGATATTTTTGGAGGGTCCGAGCAACATATGGGTGGTATTGTAATCGTAGCAACTTATCTTCCCTGCTGAGATTGAGGGGTGATGTTTTTATGGTTGCCACCAAGATTTCCAAGAAGGATTACATTGGTAAACATGCTTGATTAAGGTGGCCTAGACTAACATGAAAAGTTGGCAAGTTCAAAAAGGTTTCTTACAATGAGGAAGCAGATAGTTTGCAAGCAATCTGAAAAACAGCAGGAGTGTTGTGAATCTTTTCAATTAACTTTGTCTAAAATGAAATGTCAAATCAAGATTCTACATTAGAATAAATTGTAGAAAGAATTGCTCTAGGATTTATGTTTGCTAGATGTTCATGAGCTGAAACTTTCACCGAGTGTAATCGTTTTCCTTCTCTTTGTTGTTTCACTGAGCCTGATAGTTTTCGTCAAGAATTTCTGTTGTTTAGATATATAGTTCATATTTGTTTCCACAGCACCTGATCAGACTCTTGTACAAGCTTTATGATACCACGAGACAGTTTATAATCAAATCAAAATTAGTCCTTGAACCCAAATTTTACCGACATTGCACATAGATATTTACGTGAAAAATGGTAAAATTGTAACGAATATTGGATTTTGAACCTATAATTCTAAAAATACAATATATGTAGTGCGAAAATCCTATATTCACTCCACACCTAAGAATGGGGTATCCTAGGTTTGGAGTGGGCAACCGGCTATCCTTGATAGGAATGAAGTTATTTATTATTAATTCCACAAATTGTTAAATTGAATTTAGTTTTTTCATTTGAAGTTTGGAGTATTAGTATTATTTTTTGGGGAATTTTTTATTTAAAAAAAGTCAAATCTTTTTGTACATATGTGATATGTCCAATCGTGTGCTTAAGCAAATTTTTACTTGCATAATTTGAATTTTGTTTCTTTGAAGTTTGGATTGCTTGAAACAGGAAGGGTAAACAAATTAAGAATTAGAAGAAATGAATTTAAACAACAAAAAATGCTAAAAAGAATAAGATTGAGTAAAGAATGACTAAATTGCCCTACTATCATGTCTTCGTTCAGTCTCAATATTAAGTAAAAGGAAGGGCATAAAAGTGAAGGGAGGATACAACAGGCTACTGGAGTATAAAATAACCTGGGAAAAAGAGTATTTTGCCACTCAACTCTAGACGGAAAGAATGAGGGAGCAGAGAGGTAGTTGGGAGTCTTTAATGGTGGTTGTCCTCTCTCTGTTCCCTATGATTTCCTTTTCCGTTTTGCTGTACTCCTAAAACACCATTGCTAGAAAATGGACATAGATTGCCGCTTAAACTTCCCAATTTTACAGTTTAGGGTTTACTATCTAAACCCATAATCTGCTTCTGCTTCTTCACTTCTTTTCCTCCCTTTTCCTATGGCTAGCTTTTAATGTAAAGGATGATGAGGCTGTGATGATTAAAGGTGTCTAGAGTTGGGTCGGGCAAATGGAGTGACCCGTATCTTGGCAGGGCAACCCGGAAGGCATCTTCGTGGCTGCAACCGGGTCTGCTGCCATGGCGGTTGCATTGTCTCCATTGACTGATTTTATCACAGGTTTGAGCCTCAAAATTTAAAGTGAGAGCTTGTTTGGCTTAGCTGAATTTAAAGTAGCTTTCCGAGTGCTGAAAAGCACTATTTAAGAGGGATCGGGCAGCACTCGGGTCCGGACTACAAAGGTCTATTGTATGCAGCCTTATCCTGCATTTCTGCAAGAGGCTGTTTCAACGGCTCGAACAGGTGACATCCTGGTTATATGACAACAACTTTACCTCTTACCCCAAGAATCCCCTCCGTCAAAGATAAGGAATCATTTTTGTAAATTTCTCATGGAAAGTGTACACTTTTACATACTATTTGATCATTTTCCCGAAAACCTGCTGTATTATATTATGGATTAGATTAGCCCAGAAATGGTGAGAATGAGGCAACAGAGAAAGTATGGTATTTTCTTTAAAGGGTGGTTATCCCTCTCTGTTTCCCCTATGATTTACCATTTCTTTTAACAAACCAATGGCCCTTAAAAAAGCAAGAGAGAAAGAGAGATGATTAACACTTTAATTTTGGGTTTCTTTGCATTTTTGCATTGCCTAACATATACTCAAAACCCAAAACCATCAACTATACTAAAGATGCAGTGATGATAATTATTTTTACTATATCTGGGCTAAACTAATTGGGGCATAGAGATTACACGACCTGTATCTTGGCATGGCACTCGGTATGGCTTGTGGTTGAGACTCTTCTCTCTCACATGCAACCGGTGTTTTGCAGTCATGGCGTGGTTGTGGCTTCTATTCTGCCTTATCGTTACACATAAAAGGGACAACCCAGTGCACAAAGTGGAGGATGCGGGGAAGGGCCGACCCCAATGTGTGTGATGTAGATAGCCTATCCTAATGCAAGCATTAGTTGCTGCTTCCACAGCTCGAACCCGTGACCTATAGGTTACGCAAAGACAACTTTACAGTTTCTCCAAGGCTCCCCTTATCATGACACATCTCGGCCTCAATTTGCTAGAGACAATATTATCTTTTCGATCTGGGAGATATAGAACTCACACCCTTCTGATTACAATTTGTAATGTTTTTGCACTCTTAATGTGTTGCCAATTTTTTTATCAGTGACAGCTCATGAATGAAGCATTAGAGTGAAAATGTGGGATTTTGCACTGTAGTTGCCCTCCTTATCTGCTAAGACCTTGATTCAGCACTTGAGTTTTTTTCTTTCTCAAATGCCAGCTACCATTTTCATATTTATTTCCATATAATTTTGAATATGCAAAAGCATGTATCCTTCCGATGTGATAATAGTTGGATGTTGTGATGGTATACTAGTTAGTCTTAAACAGTATTATCAACTTTCTGGAAATGTAACTTATTAATTACCAAGAAAAACCTGTTTGAGTCTTGTAATGGGAGGCTAGTGTTGACTGAAGGTATGTTAGAAGAACCCAAAATTTTCATCAAAATAAAGAGAGGAGAGAATGAGGTAAAAGACAGAAGGAATTTCTATCAGAGGTGGTTACCTATCTCTACTTTATCAACCTTTATATAGAACAAGCAAAAAATTAAAATCAGTTTCCTGTGGTTCTGCTTGTGACTTTGTTTATGTTTACTGATCCAAATATTCGTTATCGTATCTGTTGGCTTCTTGTTCTTTGTTGCCTTGGCTTCGAGATTCTTCTTTAGAAGCTATTGGGGAATGCGGCTGCAACAACAACAACGACGACGACCCAGTGCAATCCCACTAGTGGGGTTTTGGGGTAGTGTGTACGCAGACCTTACCCTACCCGAGGGGTAGAGAGGTTGTTTCCGATAGACGAAGAGAGGCAATATATCAGTATCATCAATAAAACATAGAAAGAAATAACAACATCGCAAGAACATAGATGAAAAACAAAAGAAAAACCTATTGGGGAATGCGGCTGATGCCTAGAAAAATGTAATTACAAACTTAGTTATCTTAAATGACATAATAAGAAAAAACCAAATTATATCATGAAAAGTATCATAAGAAGTGACCTTATCAAAAAAGAAGTATATGATAAGAAATAGTTAATTCTAGAATAACCTGGGAAAGAGAGTATTTTGCCACTCAACTCTAAGACGGAAAGAATGAGGGAGCAGAGAGGCAGTGGGGAGTCTCTAATGGTGGTTGCCCTCTCTCTGTTTTCTTCCTGTAATTTCCTTTTCCATTTTCCCCCAAAAAAACGTAAGAATAAACCACCATTCTTCTTAAGGGGTCGTTTGGTTCTGAGCCTTGATTTGAACTTTCGACAATAATCGGAAGGACATATATATAAGGGGCCGTGTATGTATTCAGCCTATTATTACCATTATTCTTATTGTTGTTGTAGCGGATGAGGCTGTGATGATTAAGATTGTCTAGAGTTCGCGTCGGGGCAATGGAGCAGCCCGTATGTTGGCGGGTTGACCCGGAAAGGCCTATTTTTACAGTGCAACCGAGGTTTGCAGCCATGGCGGTTGCTTTGTCATCTTTGCCCCGATTTTATCACAGATTTGAGCCTCAAAATAACAACCCCCCCCCCCCAAAAAAAAAAAAAATCCTTTAGTGAAGTTACATTTGCATTTCATTTTAGTTTGCTGAATCTTCTGTTTAGAAATTTCTGTAAAGATAGTGATTGAAGTCATTATATTACAATTTACATATGTACCACGTAGATGATTACATAATAAACAGTTTTATCTTTTTTAATAAAGGTGAATAGATTTGTTTCAAGGAAGTTTTTGTTCTAAGTTAAAATTCTCTGATATTTTAGACTAAAATGGTGAAAGAATGGACATTTGTGTTGAAAGATATTCTCACGAACTCTAGACTGAAAGAATGAGGCAGTGGGGAGTCTTTAATGGTGGTTGCCCTCTCTCTGTTTTCTGCCTATGATTTCCTTTTCCATTTTGCTGTACTAATAAACCACCATTGTTGAAAATGAACATAGATTGCCCCTTAAACTTGCAACTGTAAAAATCCCAATTTTACAGTTCAGGGTTTACTGTCTGACCCCATAATCTGCTTATGCTTCTTCACTTCTTTCCTCCTTTTCCTCTTCCTCTTCCTCATGGCAGGCTTTTACTGTGACAGATGATGAAGCTGTGATGATAAAAGGTGTTTAGAGCTGGATGGGGCATTGGAATGACCCGTATCTTGACGGGGCGACCCGGAAGGCATCTTCATGGTTGCAACCGAGGTATGCAGCCATGGCGGTTGCATTGTCTCTGCTGATCTTATAAATCACAGATCTGAGCCTCAAAATTGAGGGATTTATTTGGCCCTTTTCCCTTTTAAAATTGGATGGAGACCAAAATTGTTAGATTTTTTGTGTATATTAAAGGACCATCATAAACCTCCTCAAAGATGACGGATCATTTTTCTCAAGAGAAGTGTATGCTTTTTACGTACTGTACGGACTATTTGATCATTTTCTGGAAAACCTGCTACATTACCCTCCATTTGAATTGGATTAGCCCAGAAATGGAGAGAATGAGGCAACAGAGTGTATGGGATTTTTTTTACAAGGGTGGTTGCCCGTCTCTGCTTTGCCTATGATTCTCCAACTTTTAAAACAAACCAACAGCCCTTAAAATAGAAAAAGAGAAAGAGAGATGATAGCACTTCAGTTTTCTGGGTTTCTTTGCTTTTTTGCACCCTAAATGCATACTCAAAACCCAATACATACAACTATACTGCAACAACTATGCTACCTTCAGATCTTAAAGAGGCAGTGATGATGATGTTTCTTATATCTGGGCTAACTGATTTGGCATTGAGATGACCCAATCCGTATCTTGGCGTGGCAAGTCTGTATGGCCTGTGATTGAGAGTTGAGACTCTTCCCTCTCACATGCAATTGGTGTTGCAGCCATGGCGTGGTTGGCTTCTCTTTTGCCTTATCATAACAACAAATCTGAGCCTCAATTTGCTGAAGAAAATATTGGGTGTGTTTGGTATGAAGGAAAATGTTTTCTGAAAAACACTTATTTTTGGTGTTTGGGAATAAGCAGAACATATTGCCTAAAGAGCATTTAATGTGACGGATGAAGAGGCTGTGATGATTAAAGGTGTCTAGGGTTGTGTTGGGCATTGGAGCGACCCGTATCTTGGCGGGGCAACCCCGAAGGTCTGTTTGATAGAGGTCTGCAGCCATGGCGGTTGCTTTGTTTCCGTTGCCTGATTTTATTCTCAGATCTGAGCCTCAAAATTGAAGCAATTACTGCATTTGTTACCCAGTTAAGTTTAACTGGAGTGTTGAAGAAAACTGTTGTGAATTAAAAGTTTACTTGTAATCTGGCTATTTTTGAATTTCTCCCAAAATAGTAGTCCAACCTGTATACACTAAGAACTATTTTGATCATTTTCTCGAAAACCTGCTATATTAGTACTGAGACGGCAAGAATGAGGCAACAGAGAGTACGGGATTATTTACAAGGGTGGTTGCCCCTCTCTGCTTTGCCTATGATTATCCTTTTTTAAACAAACCAACAGCCCTTAAAAAGAAAGAAGAAAGAGAGAGAGTACTTCAGTTTGTGGGTTTATCTGCATTTTTACACCCATAATTGAACTCAAAGACCCAATACTCACAACTATACCACACTACAACTATGCGGCTTTCAGATCTTAAAAGAGGCAGTGATGATGATGATTCTTTTCTATTTCTGGGCTAACTAATTCGGGCATGGAGATTACCTGACCCGTATCTTGGCGTGGCAACCCGGCATGGCCTGTGAATGAGACTCTTCTCTCACACATGGAACTGATGTTCAATGTTTTGCAGCCATGGCATGGTTGGTTTCCCTTTTGCCTTTCCATGACACAAATCTGAGCCTCAATTTGAAAAAAATTTATCTTTTTGCATTATCTTCTGGGGGATGAGGCTGTGATGAAATGTCGAAAGGTGTCCAGAGTTGGTCCGGCATTGGAGCAGCCCGTATCCTGGCTGGGCGACCGGGAGGCTGGTTGCAACCAGGTCCGGATGGTGGTTGCATTTTCTACATTGACTGATTTTATCACAGATCTGAGCATCAAACTTGAAGTAAAAGCATGTTTGGATTAGCTGAATTGAAGTAGCTTTTAAGCGCATTTTTTAGGAGGACGTTTGGATGGGCTTTAAAAAAAGCTTGTTTCGGTGTTTGGCTTCGTAGACTTTGTTGTGGTCTACAAAGAAACAGCTGGGCTACTGGTGAATGATTCTGTTTTCCGCAAGGTAAAAATAACGTGTTATATGGTTTTGTGCTGGTTAAAACTCAACATTTCTAATTTGTTTCCTCTGTATATAACAGCCCCTTACAGTAGAACTCTAACCTGGTATACTGGGAACATCATTGACGGAATTCACGTTTTTCATCAAATGATATCTCTTTTTATTTTTTCTGCTGAATTCTTTGTTCAAGGTTTTTAAGCTTATAGCGTTACCAACTAACTGCAACCTCCTTATGTTTGTAAATTTTCTGTGTTATTGGGTGTAAAACCCACTTTGATTTAGCTCTATCTTGTGTGTTATTCTGCTTCTTATAGTGTGCATAGTTTGAGGGGTCTCATTTTTTCATAAAAAATGTTTTCTAGTGTTTGTTTGATATGAAAGGGTTTGTGGTGATAGTTCTACTTCTTTCTTTTCTGTGTTTAATCAATGTGCACGAAAACTACCTATCCATATTTTGACTTGGCATCCCAATATGGCCTGAGATTGAGAATCTTCTCTCTTGCAAACAACCTTTGTTTTGCAGCCATGGCATGGTTTTCTTCTCTTTGCCTGATGATAACATGATGATAACATAGAACTGATCCTCAATGTTAAGAATATATAATATTAAATAATAAGACATAACCGGATTATATTTAAACTGTCTATGATAAGAAATAACCTTATTAAAAAAGTACTCCTATATGATAACAAATAATCAATTTTTAGGAACGGTAATGTACTCACTTAGTTTTTTTGATGAAGTAAGGAGAATTCATTAAAAGCATCCAGCGGATGCAGGCAAAAGATTACAATTAAGAGAGATGGTGTCTGCTCATATACAAAATGTCACCTAATAGCTCACTTAGTTATTAGGTGACATTTGAGATTTTGCCTTCATAGCCGCACCTTTCTTCTTCTCTGATCCTTTTTTTTTCTTTTTTCTATTTTGTTGACAGGTGCTCTGGTCTTATTTTTACACCATAAACAGAAACTGGAATACTCAACTCAAGAACAGAATGAGGCTGCATATGGATGGAAAGTTTCTAAGGGTGTTGCCTTCCATCAGCATGCCTGTGATATCTCTGTATTCTGCTACTGACAAAGCAGCACCCCTTCTTTCATGCTTAGCTAGCTCTCTAATGGTTATCTGCCATATTTCTCACACTATGTGCTTCTTCTTTCTTGGTCCATATCTTTTCCTTTTCACAAATCTCAATCACTATGAGCAATATTGCTGTTTCTTATCTGTAGGCTGTGATGATAAAGTTTCTTGACCTTATTGGGTTTGGGTTCATATCCTGGCGGGTTTAACCAGGATATTGTAAGCAGAGTCTTTTCTTTCTAGCATGCAATCCTTGTTTGCAGCCGTTGTGGTGTCCCTTTCCTTCACCTGATTTTATGACAGATCTGAGCCTGCTTATGTACTCATGAGTGTCAGTTCATAGATAGATATCTAAAAATAGATGAAAATAACTTCCTGAAGAAAGAGAAGGACAATGGTGAATAAAAGTGAAAACTACTTTCCCGTTTGATGAAAAAGGAATGGTTAGATTCTTAATGCAGACTTACACGGGCTTTCGGTTAAAAGTTCTCTTGTTGGATTAGCCCAGAAAATGGCGAGAATGAGGCAACAGAGAATATGGGATTTTCTTTCAAGGGTGGTTGCCCCTCTCTGCCTTGTCTATGATTCTCCCCCTTCTCAACTAACCAACAGCCCTTAAGAGACAGAAAGAGAAACACATCACTTCAGTTTCTGGTTTTCTGGATGACTATTTGTGAAATTTCCCCAATATACAAGTGTATCACAACAAGTGCACGCCTTCAGATCTTCAGTCTTTCTGCTCATGGCCCTTTGCATGTTTCTTTCAGTTCACTCTCACTGTTCATTGTTAATGGAACCTTAAAATGGGCTGTGATGATGCTTATGAATCTTTCTATTGTTGGGCTGATCATTGAGATGACCCGACCCGTATCTTGGTGTGGCAACCCGGTATGGCTGTGATTGGGAACTCCTCTCTCGCGTGCAACCGGTGTTTTGCAGCCATGGCATGGTTGTCTTCTCTTTTGCCTTGTCATTATACGCGTCTGAGCCCCAATTTGCTGGAAAACATTAGTAGGCGTTTGGACAATATTGAGTTGAAGTTGAGAAATTCCCTTAAAAGCAGACTTGTGAGGTCTCTTCGGTTAAAAGCTCTCATCTAAATTAATTTATGTTTATTAGATTAGCCCATCCCCAGACTCCACGGCGTGGGATAATACTGGGTATGTTGTTTATTAGATTAGACCAGAAATGGCGAGAATGAGGCAGCAGAGAGTGTGGGATTTTTTACAAGGGTGGTTGCCCCTCTCTGCATGCCTGTGATTCTCCCTTTCTCAACAAACCAACAACCTTTCCAAAAGAACGAGAGAAAGAGACATATAATAGCACTTCAGTATCTGGGTTTCCTTGCATTTTTGCACCCTTTTAATTTATACTCTCACGGACTATACAACAACTACGTGGCCTTCAGATCTTTAATTGAGACAGTGATGATGATTTTTTCAGTATCTGGGCTAATGAATCCGGGCATGGACATAACTCGACCTGTATCTTGGCGTGGCAACACGGTATGCCCTGTGATTGAGAGTCTTCTCTCTCTCACACACATACAACTGGTGTTTTGCAGCCATGGCGTTATTGGCCTCTCTTTTGCCTTTGACATAACAACACATCCGAGCCTCATTTGCTAAAGAAATTATCTTTTCCATATTGAGGTGGGAAATATTGAACCCACACCCTTTAAATTACTAGTTATAAAGCTTTTAACTTTAAAAAGATCTCCTATTTTTTTATCAGTAATTGGAATATTCGCTATATAATCCTCCATATAAGCTAATTCCCTTAGCCCAGAAATGGTGAGAATGAGGCAACAGAGAGTACGGGATTTCTCTCAAGGGTGGTTGCCCCCTCTCTGCTTTGTCTATGATTCTCCCTTTTCAACAAACCAACAGCCCATGAGAGACAACACTTCCATTTCTGGGTTTCTTTGCATTTTTGCACCCTTTGTTTGGAAAGCCACCTTGTAATCGGATTTAGGGTGTAAGCATGTGTAATTAAACAGTTTTTGATTGTTTGTATGGTTAAGTAAACTTGGTTAGCATGGATTTGGGTATAATCACACAACTATAGTACGACCTTCAGATCATCGGTCCATCTCCTTATGGCTTTGAGAACTCATTAAAGAGGCAGCGATGTTGATGTTTCTTATATCTGAGCTAACTAATTCGTGCATGGAGTTACCCGGCCCGTATCTTGGCGTGGCAACCCTGTATGGCCTGTGATTTAGACTCTTCTCACTCATGTGTAACCGGTGTTTTGCAGCGATATCATGGTTAGCTTCTCTTTTGCCTTATCATAACACATCTAAGTGCTGAGCAGATCTAGTATTTGAACTTTGTGGGTTTGAGTTCGAGATTTTACCACAACTCTTTTGATTTACTGTGTTGAAAATCAATTATTTGTACTTATTAGTGAAATTTTTAACTCATATGCAAGGCTCGAGTCAAAGCTACTGAGTTCGGATGAACCCATGACTAAACCTCTCCATCCGCCCCTGACTGAGCCTCAATTTGCTAAAGTGATTATACCTTTTCCTTGACGCGGGAGGTATTGAAACCACGCCTTTTAGATTAGAAATTATTACTTTGAAACTCGCTTATGGCCATTTTTTTTTATCAGTGACAGCCAAAGAATGAGATATTATAGTGAAATGTGGGAATATGGTGGTTGCCGTTCTTTTCTGGTAAGCCCATGATTTCCTTTTCCTTTTTTTCCTTTTTTCCCCTCTTTTTGCTTGTACGCCATGTTCATATTTCCCCAATATATATGAATATGTGCTGAAGGCTACATGTTGCCCTATGTGAAAATTGGACTCCATCTCTTCGTGCAGTGATCTCCTCACTTCTCTGTGATTAAAAAGATTAACATAAGTTGCTATATGCTTCCCATATGATAATAGCTGGAAGTTATGATGTTATACTAGTTTGTGTTAAATAGTATTATCAATTTTCTGAAAATTGAAATGATTAATTACCAGAAAAGACAAACTTGCTTGAGCCTGTTGGAATAGCCCAAAAAAGTGAGAGAATGGGGCAACGGAGAGAAGGGTATCCCTATCAAAGCTGGTTTCCTATCTCTGCTTTACCATGATTCGCTGTGTTCCAAAAAGCATGAGCCTTTAAATAATCTTATAAAATAAGAATAATTAATTTTATAAAAGTAAAGTATTAGTATTAGTTATCTCAAATGACATTTGAGATTTTGCCTTCATAATCTCACCCTTCCGTCTGCACTGCCCTTTTTTTTGTGTTTGTTTCTTTTTAGATTCTTTTTACAGGTTCTCTCGTCTTCTGTTTTACCCCATGAACAGAAACTGGAATTCTCAGGATTCCCCTTGTATTCTCAACTCGAGAACAAGAATAATGCTGCATTGGATGGGAAGTTTCTAAAGGTGTTGCCTCCTATCTGCTGGCCTGTGATATCTCTGGAATTGTTCACAAAGCTCAATGGAAATTTGTTCTATTATCCTCCATCTAAGCTAATTCCCTTTGTTAGATTAGTCCGGAATTGGCTAGAATGAGGCAACAGACAGTATGGGATTTCTTTCAAGGGTGGTTGCCCATTGCCCCTCTCTGCTTTGTCCACCATTCTACATTTTTTGACAAACCAACAGCCCTTGAAAAAGAGAGAGAGAGAGAGAGAGCACGCTTCAATTTCTGGATTTCTTTGAATTTTTGCGCCCTACATATATTCAAAACCTAAACACGCAACTACACTACAATAACTGCACGACCTCCAGCTCTTCAGTCTGGCTCATGACCTTGACTGCTATTACCCGACCCGTATCTTGGCGTGGCAACCCTGTATGTCCTGTGATCGGGGCTCTTCTCACTGATGGGCAACCGGTGTTTTGCAGCCATGGCGTGGTTGGCTTCTGTTTTGCTTATCATAATGGCAGATCTGAGCCCCAATTTTCTACAGAAAATCTCTTATTTTGATATGGGAGATAGAAGCCACGCCCTTTTTATTACTAGCTAATGCTTTTCACCCGTATTGTTTCGCTATTTTTGATCATTAACAGCTCGAGAATGAGACGTTAGAGTGAAATGTGCAATTTTTGTAACAGTGGTTGTCCCCTCCTCTTCCATGCAACCAAGGCGTGGCTGGCTTCTCTTTGCCTGATGAGCCTCAACTTTAATATCAATCAGCTATTCCTCAATCCGAATTAGTTGGATCGGGCTATATGAATCCTCTGTTTCCATTCTGCTCTATTTAGGTATATTTGATATGAATAGTAAAAATTTGTTTTTCTAAGACAAAAGTATATAATAAGAAATAATCAAACTTGTGAAGAAAGGTAAGAACAAAAAATTGTAAATAATCAATTTTGTAAAAATGCTAAATTAATTATCTTAAACGACATCTGAGATTTGCCTTTATATCCCTGCCCTTCCGTCTGCTTTTTTTTTTTTAGTGTGTGTTTGTTTCTTTCTGTAAAAATATTCTTTTGACAGGTTCTCTGGTCTTACTTTTACACCATGAACAGAAACTGGAATTCTCAACTCGAGAACAAGGATGAGGCTGCATAGGATGGGAAGTTTCTAAGGGTTCCTTTTTATTCTGCTGCTTTCAAAGAAACATACGTTCTTTCATGCTTAGTGGACGCTCTTATGCGTATTCAGAATCTGCTCTCATTATTGTCTTATTTCTTGGTCATTTGAGGATAGAGAGGTGGTTTCCAATAAACCTTCAAAGTTGAACAGTTACAAATTAAGATGTTTGATATTCATTGCATAACGTATGTAGTCAAATTGCCTCTGTAGATACGATCGAGCAATAAAATAAGGTTAAATTGGGACTATTAAAAAAAATTATAAGTTCCATAAACTTTTCATTCAAGTATATCAACTTTCCTAATTAAATTATGGATAGGTCTTTTGAAACAATTCAAAAAGAAAAGGTGACAGGCAATTTTAAGTCGAAAGCAAATATCTAGAATCTAGTTTGAGAGTATGGAAGTCTCTGAATGTATAGGCAGGCGACCTACTGTTAAAATAAATTATGACCAAAATGCCCCTTATTTATAAAATTATAGTAGTTCTTGTCCCATTCATTATCAATTATACACATTTAAAATAAAATATAAATATTACATCACTGCTTCCAAGTTCTGAAGGTGTTACTTTAATTTTCACTATCCTATGATTTCTGTATGCAACTTTATCTGTTGGTTTTATTCTTAGTGTATGGTAGAGGGTGTTAATTTACCTCAACTTTTGAGGTGAATATTTTGCAATATATTCTAACAAATTGGAAGGGGGGGGGGGGGGGGGGG